TATATATATATATATATATATCCCACAGGTGATATCGTCCTTGGGAACTGTTGATATTCCTCGTTTTAATTTCTTACCATAATTTTCTATCGCTAATTGACGTATTAGCTACAGCTTCTCTATTTTTTGAGCTGTTGATACCCACTTTTCCTGTTTTCAAGTCCTTGATTCAGTTTCTCCGTAATGGCATCTGGTAGAGACAACTCCAAGATGAATCATGGGCCCATCCCTCCATTAATTCTTCCGCTCTTCCCTGGAGGGAGTGAGAGGGGGTGTTGGGGGAGGTGCTGATGCAATGGTCCTTCCGGTGGCTATTTTGTTCTTTTTTTCCATGCCTGTTGTGTAGTTTATTTGTAGATTAGACAGCTGTATACATGAATAAGAAAAGTTGGATAAGAAAGTGCCTGGTATGACCCAGTAGGTCTACTAGCCTACACGGATGTTCATTATCCCTCATCTTACGAGAAAAAAATCCTGATACTGGGTCTTTATTTCATTGTATGATTTCTGGGCATTGATCTCCATGCTGTATATGAAAAGCAAAACCGCAAAGTGGAAGGTAATTAAACCAAATCCCATTGCCTGTATTGCCGAACCATCCCAGTCCTTTATACCTTGGTGCACGCGATTGGAACAGTGCAGAGTGCGGCATAAGTTTGTAATGTAGCTAAATATTAGCATTGAAGATTTGAAGTGAATCCGAAAAGGCATTCACAAGTTATATGAAAATTAATATCGCAGTTCCTACAGTAAAAATGACAGATTAAGGAATACACAAGCCAAATTTTACTCAAACCTTCCAGTAACTTTGAAGCTAAATTGAAGAGACATTCTCACATTCTCTCAGAGACCTACATCCTGAAACCAGGAAAATCTATCCTCGTTAAATTATAAAAACACTCAAAAGGCGATTTTTTTTTCGCAAAATCACAACAATCTTAAAGGGAAAAAAATAAGATTTTTTTTAACTTTTAAGAAAATTAGATTTAACAAAATTGCTTTACGAATGGAAAATTGGCACTCACACAACCCAGAATCAACGCAGTTATACTTACAACTAAGATACGTAACGTCTAGTGTTTGAAGCCTATCAGAAGAGGCATTCTGTAGTTATTGCATGGGAAACAAAGCATTTAATAAAACTGGTAAATTGAAATTTGCACATCTCAGAGTGAACGCCAAGCTTTCTTTTAATTAAACCCATCAACGGCGAAAGTTTGAACCCGATCACAAAATGCATTCTCCAGTAATTGATATGATTCCAACGATTTCAAGTTTCTTTTTTTAAATTTTAGTAAAATTTTCAGCCTTGCTACTACTCAGACTAAATTTACGGGGTATCATCCATCCTAGCAGAATGCACATCATTAATATTTTGAACCTGATCAGAAGTACTCTTCTTTTATTGGAAACAAATAAATATCCCTACTTATTAAATAAAATTGGAAAATTGAGACTTATGTCACCCGATAACATAAATCTTGTGACTCAAAATCGTAATAACACGATTGCAAACAAACCAGGGTACGGATGGGTTCGAACCCATGGCGAGTGAGTCGTAAAACTCCGGGCCAGTGCGTAAGTTTTGCCACTCCACTCACTATGGGTTCTAACCCCCACCCGTTCCATGGGTTGAACCTTATGTTTAGGAAACCAAGCCAATGGTGAAAATTAGAAGCCGATCAGATGAATCAATCTCCAGTTACAGCACAGATTCCACCGACTCTTAAGTTTTTAAGGTATTTTACTACAACAAATTTACCTGAGCACCAACAAAACTTAATGAGTACTATCCAGGCCCGTAGCTCGAGTGCTAGGGCATTCGGCTCACACACTGAGGTCCATGGTTCGATCCAAGGTACAAGTGGAAACATCAGGACGTGTTTCCATAAGACACCTGCTGTCCCTGTTCACATGTCAATAAAATAGTTGCCTAGGTGTTAGTTGACTAGTGTGGGTCACATCCTGGGGACAAAGATGACCTAATTTGCCCGAAATGCTCTGCATGATAAGGGGCTTTCTGTATAGTAGTATGTCACTTATGTCAGCTAGACCTGTATACCTTCTACATGTACTTGTAGAAATAAAGGTAATTATTATTATTAATACGCATCAGCCATTAAATACTGAATCAGACCAGAAGATGTACACTGAAATTCATTTAACGTATTGAACGGGAATAAAAATTTCACACCATTTTACGCAAAAAATGGTCAGATCTGCAGCATCTACACACACATGAATTTCCCTTCGCCGTCGTCAAATTAGGAGGCTACGTCACTGAGGGTTTTAAAGAGTTATCTCAGCCATTCCAGGATGCTGGTTAGGTGAACATGGCAGTTGTTCCAAGAATCTATCCTCGTTGCTGTAAGCAAGCGTTGACAATTTGTATCTGGATCAAGAGTTCTTGAGTTATGAGCGAAACAAAATCGAAAGTTGGAGGGAGAAAAATAAATAGAAAACAAGATTCAGGCAACTTACTAAAGGTCCCCGTATTGTATACTGAATAATGCAAATTATTCTGAAAAAAACGTGGTTGACCTGATGGGTAACACAGTGGTCGTGCGAGTAGTGTTTGACCTGACAGGTAACACGGGGCTGGGGGAGGGCGTGCATGTAATGTCTGACCTGACAAGTAACACAGGGTCGTGTGTGTGTCTAATGTTTGACCTGACAGGCAACACAGGGCCAGGTCATATGTAATGTGTGACCTGACAGGTAACACGGGGGGAAGTCATACGTGTAAAGCTTGACTTGACAGGTAATACTGGGGAAGGACATATAATATTTTTTGACAAGCAGTACTGGAGGAGGTCATGCACGAAACACTTGACCTGGCAGGAAATACTGAGGGAGGTAATGTTTCTGACAGGTAATACTGGGGGGTGTCATGCATGAAACAGTTTACCTGACAGGTAATACTGAAGGAGGTCATGCATGTAATATTTCTGACAGTATTGTGGGAGGTCATGCATGAAACACTTGACCTGACAGGTAATACTAGGAGAGGTTAGGCATGTAATGTTTGACTTGACAGGTAATACTGGGGTCGTGCGTATAATGTTAAACCTTACAGCCAACACTTTCCCAATACATCTTGTTTTTGTAATTAACATCATTAAATACATGGTGTTCCACGGTTGCAGGTTATCAAAAATATTTAAATACTTCCAAGAGGTGCGCGGGGGGTTTTGACCCCCGAACGCCCTCCAGGTATACTCCAGGTTTTAAGTTTTCTTACACATTATCATTCTGCCTTGGACATGATTTCCAACAGGAAGTTTATTTTTTTTACATATAGCTGGTCTCAGACCGGGCCGCGGGGGCGTTAACCCCCGAAGCCCTCTCCAGGTAAACTCCAGGTCTCCAGGTAGCCTCGCCGCACATTCTCTAGCTCCGTGTCCAGGTGCTCGGACGCGTGTCCAGGTGTTCAGACGCGTGTCCAGGTGCTCAGACGCGTGTCCAGGTGCTCAGTCGCATGTCCAGGTGCTCAGACACGTGTCCAGGATGCCTGAACACTTATTTCATTAATCTGACACTGCATCTAGGTGACCATACCCGGGACCTGATAAACTGCCATACATTCTCTTGACTTGGTGCATATGCTTTAGATGGCCTGGTGCTGTGACACGTGAGTGGACACGTGCCAGAGGTTATGACCTATGACCTGGGAAGGCGGCGCTGGTGGAGGGGGTGTGAGTGAGGCTGGAGCGAAGCATGCCATATTAGAGCGTGTGGGCGCCACATTCCTGCCGTATAATGAAGCGAGGAGAGGTGCGGGGCGGCGCAAGCCTCCACTGTAATGGCGCCATCACTCACTGGCAGCAGCTTCACACCAGCGTGCCTTCACATCTCCCCCATCACTACTAACACGGCGGGAAGAGGCCTGGTGTGTGCCTGTAAGGCGCCAAACACGCATTCTCCAGTCAATAGGTCATAGTTAATGGTCACATTGACGTCAGACTGCAGCAGCAGTGCCACCCGGTAAAGGCAACTGTCCTCAGTCAGCGCCATTATGGGTGAAGGCTTTCAAGATCGCATTCGTTTTCATTATGCAGTTCTTATTTAAGATTAAATTGTAATTAATATTCGCAGTAGTGGCTACATTATTATTTGATTGTTAATTACACGAGTATAGAGACGTAGTAGTACAGCTAAACTCTTATATGAGTGACCCTTGTTTAAAAGTTATCTCGCTATAACTACTCGTCGGTCTGTCCGACACAGCAAACAGATCACCAGAGAAAGGGTATGTGTGTGTGTGTCAGCTATTTTGTGGGTGAGGATCGTGAATCCCTCAGGTGAGAAAGCATGGACATAATGAGTGATTAATGAGGTGGGTCAGAGGTGCGGACGGAGGCTGGCGCCGACCCCACCTGTCCTGATCTCCATCATTACTAGTGCCCGCTCCCACCTCTAAGTTCTGCATTATAGTGCCTACAAGCACACGCGCCATCGCTGCATACCCTTACTTATACTCACTTAATACTTTAAGTATAACCAGATGAACAGCTGCAGTGGGATAAGATATGGATAGACGACTGCCTTTCTATTGGCTTTTTCATTTGATGCGAAAGGAAAACATTTTGTAGAAGGACTATTGCTTCAAAATTCAAGGTGTGGGATTTAGATATGGAAGAACAGTTTCTGTTACTTCCAGAAATGTAGTAAAATCTCTGGATTTCTTTGGTCGTCATGCATATGCGTCGGCCTCATCTCTGGCACTGTGCAAGGAGAGCTTCTGGCACCTAGTTCTTCCCCTTCTGAACACCACTTTCTTCATGTCATCTTCCCGAGCCTTAAGACCTCTAGCCACTAGGCTAGTTTTGACTCCCATATGGAAATTGCCTTCTGGATCAAGTCTTTTCCTTTGAACTCATTTTTCGAGTCAGATATGATATGATGATCGGGTATAATTGTTGGGTGGAAGTGGGTGGTCAGGCAGGGAGGCGGGTAAGCATCGGGTGGGTGCCTGGGAGGCGCCGAGCAGCCATCAGACCCTCAGCGGCCACCACACGGGCCGCATCCTTTGGCCGCTACTCCTGCACGCTCACTCCCGCGCGGCAACTTCTCTTATGACAGTGACAGTGCCTCGCAGTGACATATGACAGAGCAATAGTTAGCGCAGAGCAATGATGGCGAGGATGGTGGGGGTGTTGGTTGGAGTGTTGTTAGTGGCTGGGGCAGTAGCCAAGCCAGAAGGATTCTCCGGATACAAAGTCAAGCGTTCATCACCTCCTGGAGGGTAAGTTAAATTCCCCACTAATCACAATGGTGTTCTAATTTCTAGTTCTTAATCCAAAAAAGTAGCAGCAAGCTCGATTAAATTGACAAAGACTACCTTCCAAAGGCAGACATGAAAATCTGAAAGCAAGATAAATATATGTATCAGGTCTTAAAACAGCAGACCGAATGGACCACCTGAAGATTCTTCACAAGGAAAGGGGTGACATGAATTCTTAATTAGGCGAGGTAAAATAGTTAATTGTATATTAAGTAAATTACAAAAAAAAAAAAAAATAGGTTCGCAGAGGTATGTTTGTTGTTCTAGGGGGATTCTTAGGTGATCTGACCAATTGAATGGGCTGCTCATGGAATACATATCTATGTAATGTTGAAGGCATTGACGCTATGGTGTATGCAGGGCACCCATCCTGGTACTGAGTATTACCTCATGGGAGGTTTCATAACTCCAGTGAGGGTTCTTGATCCAGGGACCTGGCCTGTCTTGGATGGAAGTGATTACCCATGATCCCACAGACGTTGTATGATACCTACATGTACAGCACCTCCCTCTCCCATGAATGTAAAAATAATAATAGAGTATTATATTAATTGGGAAGAGCTAAACTCGCACGTCATACATCGCCTGGGAAAATAGGACGTGGGGGCTGGGCCTCACACGAAGAGGAACGTGAGGGCATGTCTCTTAACACGTATTGCTCCTGTTACCTAATAAAAAAATAAATGCCCGGGAATTACTCAATTGTTTTGGATTGCTTCCTGGGCTAGAACCTAAAGTCACTCCAATGAAAAGCCTCATTAATTGGCTTTATTGGGTTATTCTGGGTTTACTAAATCTTTGGGATTAATAACCCGAATAGTCTGTACTAGGAGCAAGGCATCCATCCCTCTTGAAATGACCCTAATGGGTTTAGTGCTTCTTTTTTATTATAATCCTTCTTGAAGGGTCGTGCGTGGGTTTGTCGGTTTCATGTGGCCGGCCACGCCTTCGTCAGATTCGGATCTCATTGCCTCCTTACTGTATTTCGGGTCATGATCTTGAAAAGTGAAAGCTTGTTAATGGAGTCCTTATAATTGCTCACTAAAATATTGTAAAGCATTTCTATAAGTTTAACGCATGCTGAATATCGAAGGTGTGCTCAGTTGATGTAGTTCGAGGACCAGCCTAACTTGCGAGAGTTTTTGAAGGGTTGAGCTTCGATTCCTTGCTCTGAATGGCCCATATGAGTTTAGCTCTTCGTATAATTATAATAGTAATTCAGATATAGTTAAGTATAGTTCACATATGATGTACTGTATGTAGTTCACTCAGGGTGAACTTAGGCGTGTACGCCCCGCAGAGTAACGGCGGGAGAACTCTCCGTGGGAGAGATAGCTAGTCGAAGGCCCTTCATGGAAAGAAGAGTTGATGTCGATGAAAGGCTCTTGATCCAAGAAATTGAAGCACCCTTCACCTTGAATCAGATCTGATTACCTTCCATTCCCCAGGATCTGGGTAACCCCCTACAGATTAGCACTTCTCAGGCTGTGTGTGACCCCCACGGATTCAGCACTTCCCAAAACACAATTTGTATGAGGTTACCTGCAGAGAATCACTTGACAGATGAAGTCAGAATAGTAGAGAACCTCGTATATTAATTTCCATTTTTTTATTATTATCATCGTTATCATTACTAATGTTTATGTAGAAACGATAAACCCGGGTCCAGACACCCTCTGGATCCCCAAATCCTTCTTTTTATTATTGTATTTTGTTCCTTTATTATTATAAGATTATTGTGTGATGGAAAGGGAAGTGTGATTACTTCGGCGATTTTTGGATAGCGATAAACCAGTGCAGTAATTAACTTATTGCTCAAGTTAATTGCTCTGATATGTTATATGAATTGTAAGTCACCGGTGGATTTAGGGTAATACGTAAGTTCTGGTCTGACGCCTTGTAGATTCGCCAGAACGATGGCCTGAGACATCTTTGGAAGGTCCCCATTAGCGGCTCACAGGCAGGTCGGGGTAAGCCCTCTGGCAAGAGCCTGGCGTGTCTTCTGTGTGGTACGTTTTGTTTTGTACAAGCAGGGCCCTATAGCACAGCCCGGCTTATCCTCGGTATTTGCCCGATGCCGTTTTCCAGCCTTGGTTGTGCCCTTGTAGTTAGCAGTCTTCTAGGACAACCCATCTATCCGCACCCACAGGGTTTGAAGGGCGCCGGAATGAATGGCTTGTTGGTATCTAAAAGTACATGTACATCTTGATAGGGCCTCTTCCATACCCCTAACAAAAAATAAAAAAAACTTTGGGCCGCAACCCATCGTCATAAGTACTTGCCCTGGTGACTCAAGTCTAGGGACAGTCACCACAAGTGCTATGCTAATGCAGGTCTGGGGACAGTAACCACAAGTGCTGTGGTAACGCAAGTCTGGGGACCGTCACCGCAGACGCAAGTGACTTGACCACAATTCCTGGTATCATCTTTCTGCGTTATCGTGAAATTGTATATCGCAAGATGGTTGATATCACTGAGCGCACTTTTACGACTCCTGCTGCGGGGTCAGGTTTACGCCTTGCTAGCATTTTGTTTTTTAATTCTCTACGTGTTTAGTTGCTACAAGTTACTAGGAGTCTCTTGTCTGTCTGGGTCTCTCAAACAATTGTTCTCTCTCTCTCTCTCTCTCTCGTTTGCTTGCTTGCTTCTCTGCGCTCATTTCCCCCATACTTAAGGGTTCTACAAGATTACAGCCGAGTTGCAACCATGCATTTTGTGAAATAACTGTTATTTCACTTGAGCTTGTTTCTAAGCTTGGGCCCTAGCAATTGCTCTGTTAAAAGTGATTTCGTAGATGTGTAGTTTATTTAATATTAAGCGAGATTCACATTGAGTAAAAGTGATCTTGAAGCTAACTAATCCAGGGCTTTTATTTAATTAAGTTAACTTGATTTATGAAATATCTATTAGTAGTCATACGCCAAATACGAGTCGGATTTACCTGGAGTCGCTTCTGGAGGTCAACGCCCCCGCGGCCCGGAACCAGACCAGGCCTTCTGGGGCTAAGAATAAATGATGCAGTCATACGTTCGAGGAAGGTATAGTTGCTTCTCTTGTGGTATAATAGCCGTCTTCTTGCTATCGAGAAAGTTGGGTCAGATGGATTGTTTAAGAACATTGGCCTTTTATAATAACGAAGCTACCACCATGTCTTTGGGGTTAAATTCGAAATACAATTGACTGTGGGTGGTAGATAATTATCCAGGGTGGTTCTACCGCTACCTGGAGGATATCCCGGGGATCAACGCCCCCGCGGCCCGGTCCACGACCAGGCCTCCAAGTCATATTATTAATTGGGTAGCGCTAAATCCCTAGGGATTATACAGCGCCGTGGGGAAGGGGAAGTTAGAAGGCATTCAGGCTTAATTCGGGGAATTGAAGCACAGATCCAATTCCCTAGATGAAGAGCCTCTCACTAGCATCAAGGAGCCTCCATTGAGGGGCTGTGTCATATGAGTGTAAAACTGCATCCAGTTAATTGGAATTCACTCTGGTTTCTAGGATTGCTGGTCTTTCCTTTCTCTCCCATGAAGACGCAAGATGGCGGGTAAATCTTCAAAACTTCCACTTACCTGGAGGTTACCTGGTTACCTGGAGGTTATTCCGGGGATCAACGCCCCCGCGGCCCGGTCCATGACCAGGCCTCCCGATGGATCAGGGTCTGATCAACTAGGCTGTTACTGCTGGCCGCACGCAGTCCAACGTACGAGCCACAGCCCGGCTGATCCGGCACTGACTTTAGGTATCTGTCCAGCTCTCTCTTGAAGGCAGCCAGGGGTTTATTGGCAATTCCCCTAATGCTTGATGGGAGGCTGTTGAACAGTTTTGGGCCCCGGACACTTATGGTGTTTTCTCTTAGTGTACCAATGGCGCCCCTACTTTTTATTGGGGGCATTTTGCATCGCCTGCCCAGTCTTTTACTTTCGTAGGGAGTGATTTCTGTGTGCAGATTTGGGACCATTCCTTTCAAGATTTTCCAAGTGTAGATTATGATATATCTCTCCCTCCTGCGTTCCAACGAGTACAAGTCAAGTGCTTCCAAGCGTTCCCAGTAGTTAAGGTGCTTGACAGAACTTATACGTGCAGTAAAGGATCTCTGTACACTCTCTAGATCTGCGATTTCACCTGCTTTGAATGGAGATGTTAATGTACAGCAGTATTCCAGCCTAGAGAGAACAAGTGATTTGAAAAGGATCATCATGGGCTTGACATTTCTCGTTTTGAAAGTTCTCATTATCCATCCTATCATTTTCTTTGCACGTGCGATCGTGGCACTGTTGTGATCCTTGAAAGTGAGATCCTCAGACATTACTACTCCCAGGTCCCTTACATTATTTTTCCGCTCTATTGTATGGCCGGAGTCAGTAGTATACTCTGTTCTAGTTATTATCTCCTCCACTTACGTTCAACCTATATTTTTCTTTCCTGTTATTATTCCTACAATGTTTCTTTGCATTTTTAGAGGGCCTGATGTAAGAACAGGTTGAAGGGGCGATGATCCACGGTATCATTAATAGAGATATGAGTTAAATTTCGCCCCAAGGATATTCACTTGATGGTTGGAGGCGGCCAACCAGGCTGTAATGGATATGTGGGCCAGCGGGCCGCCAGCAGCAACAGTCTGGTTGACCAGGCAAGCATCCTAGCCCAGGGCCAGGATGAGGGAGTATAAAAACTCTCGAGACTCGTCAAAGGTATATCATTTATCCTCACACACCTCAAGAGTTATATCAAACTCTCTAAGTATCATCATCTGTGTTTTCTCAGCAACAATGTAACCTGCCTCTATCCGCTCCCCCCCCCCTCTCTCTCTCTCTCTCTCTCCTCTCTCTCTCTCTCTCTCTCCCTCTCTCTCTCTCCTCTCTCTCTCTCTCTCTCCTCTTCTCTCTCTCTCTCTCTCTCTCTCTCTCTCCTCTGTCTCTCTCTGTCTCTCTCTGTCTCTGTCTCTGTCTCTGTCTCTC